ACAAATACACAAACATAGTTCAAAGCAATGCAGTGAAATACTGGTTTTCTGAGCTAACAAGTCTGAAATCCTGGCCCATAAACTCATTATGTTTAAAGAGATAAACAGGAAAAGGTCTACATTTCACTGCACATTTTTTTAAATCTTACCAAGATTCTACAGAGAGCTTTACTGACTGTTCCTCCTTCAACCACTCTCTCATACAGGCCTGCTTTTTAAGTTTTTGTGCAGGGCTTTTATTCTCATTTATACACCAATGAACATTTCATGGAAAATGGAAAATATAAATGGTTTTATCCAAGGACACTTTGGCTTCAGTTCAATTTTATGTTATAAAAATAGACTGATGACTACATCATGTCCACCTACTCTACTGATTTGTTTTTCCTTAAAATGTAAAACCTTCATTACACCAGTACTTCTCTGTTGGGGAGAATTATTTACCACATTGACTCTTTTGGATCAAAGAGCAGTTTGTCACCAGGGTTTTGTCAGGGTATAGTTGATTTAGTCTATAAAATAATCACTGGTTATATAGGTTTATAAAGGTAAATTGTGTTTCTCAGCTGCTTTATTACATGAGCTTATTATAAGTGCACCCCTAATATACATATTAGGGGTGCAACGATACAGAAAATTCACGATTCGGTTCAGTTCAATACTTTAGTCTCACGATTCGATATTTTTTGATAAAAAACAGAAATGTCCATGCCCTTTTTAACTTGTAATTTATTTAAATTAATTATGAACATTTGTTTAACCTCAAAAGTACAGTTTTTAAATTTAATGTAGCTGAAACAGCAAGTTTCTCAGTGGATCTGCGCTCAAAAATGCAGCCTAGGTGGAGTAGTCGAACACAGATCCACTGATCCTTCAACACAGAGCATCTTCACAAGACAAGTTGATAAAGTAAATTAAAAAAATCTGTATTGTTTGATACAAGTGTGTATTGAACCTAAAGCACTGTATTGAATGGTTCGATACAGGTACATGTATTGTTGCGCCCCTAATAAATAGATAAATATATATTATTTCAAAATAAAATCATATATTATGCAGTCAACACTAACTACTGGTGCTCAGCGTGTAATCTGATTTTCAGTGTTCTACCTTCATAAAATACTGATTTTATGTTGTTTTATTAATCCCAAGACTTTAGTAAAATGCTCTTCAAATGGCTGGAAAATGTATAGTTTAAGTAGATATTTTAACAAAGTTCTGGTGTAGTACACCCCTGGACCCCTAGAACTGCTTCACTCCACATTTGCTCCTTCACATGAACAGATGTTATTTTTAAATATTTTAATTGGACAACCTGGTTTTCAAAAATAAAAAATAATATATCTTTTTTTTGTGAATGGATGTAAATTGGCAGAGAGAATTAGAGAAATGCACAAGAGGAACCAAATCTTGAAATCTTGCCCAGGGCACCAAATTGGTTAGGGTCGGCCCTGGGTGCCATGAAAAGTCTAATAATGGTGCAATAAAAAAACACAACTCTACACAAAGATTCATAAAGCAACTAAAATATGAGAATACATCACAAAATTCAATGGTGACTGAATTAATACTCACTCTGAATGTGACCATAGCCATGTTAACATCATCAAACTGTGTTCCAGTCAAACACTTGTGATGGAACACTTGGATTAAAACTGGAATAACACTGAATGTGAACATATTCACAAAGAGCTGACTTCTACAAGAGGAAAACACCTGATTTAAACACATGTTGGAAAAAAATAATCAATCAAAGGGAAGACTATAGGACAGAAACAGTACAGCAATATAATGTCTGGTATTACAATGGGCAGAAATGACCTTCCAGAAAAATCTCATTTATATATTTATGAATTTTTTCAACCAGTTTTTCTATTACCTCTCTAAGTTACTGATTAAAATGTCATGTGCCTCAAATAATAATTATAGAACTAGTTGGCTTCCCAGGAAACTCAGCAGGATTGTTGGTAAAAAAAAATAAAATTAGGAACTCCAACAGCAAAGGGGAGAAAAAAGCCCACCTACTGACCAGGACATAAACTGGCTGCATAGTTCAATGTGTTGCTTTCAGATTGTATTTATATGAGAAATGTCGAGTGTCGCATATATTAGTCTGGTTATCGATACTGTATGATCCTCAGGGGACAAAAGGCTGTGTTTTAATGATTTTTACTCACACTACAAATAATACAGGGAAAAAAAATCAGTGAACCGGTCTAATAAATGTTTAAATAATCCCTCTGACGTCGCCTCTGTGACTCTGCGTTTTCAGGTTTCAGTCAGAAGTTAGAGGTTTGCTCTGACCACATAAATTTCAAAAATTTCAAATTTCAATTTCAAATGAAATAGTTTGACCCTTCGACAAATCTTTGGTTTTCTCCAGGGCAAACAAAACTGTGGAGAAATCCTACAGTTGGTGTCTACAGAGAATTTAAGCCCCAATCTATGAACTCTGATAGTTTGCAGAACTAAAGGTGAATGATGAGAATTAAAGACAGAAGTTTAGCTTTTATGTTAACAAAAGTCTTACTGGACAAACAGAATTTACTCTTCAAGGCTGAATTAAACTATAAAATGCTTTCAAAACAGACCATAATGAGCCTTGCTGACTATTGTTCAGTGCAGACAGATATTTATGAGTGTTTTGCTTGCTTTCATAATAGAACAGAAATAAACCATCTGTGGAGGATTAATTCAGTCGTAAAACATTTTTTTTCCACATAAAGTGATAGACACTGTCTGGAATCTTTTTTTATGATTATTTTTAGTTAGATCTTTATTTAAGCAGGAAACAAAACTCTTGAGATTTAATAGAAGAATGTCCTGTTCCAGACAGACAGCAGTTCAAAACAGCTCTTTGATTTGTATTGTCTCTGTAAATTACTCATCCTGGGTCTGTTTTCCACATAAATCAGAAATAGCGTTCTTTTATGCTGGACTAAAAAAACTATTTTGAGTCTACTAAACAATGATAATGATAATGATAATAAAAATAATAATTATAATAATAATAACAACAACAACAACAACAACAACAACAACAATGGGGAAAAAACAAGCTAAGATCTTTTAAAGTGGGGTACAGTGACTAGAGATGTAACAATTAATCAAGAATCGATTCAGATTAGATTATTACTGCTTAAAATGTGAATCGATTCATTCAAATTAATGAATCGAATCATTCAAATTAATGAATCGATTCATTCAAATTAATGAATCGAATCATTCAAATTTATGAATCGATTCATTCAAATTTATGAATCGATTCATTCAAATTTATGAATCGATTCATTCAAATTAATGAATCGATTCAGTCAAATGAATGAATCGATTCATTCAAATTAATGAATCGATTCCATTCTAAAATGATTTGTGAAGACATAATTTTTTTTCTTTAAGTTATATTCTCTTATTAAGACAACAGATACGGGGACAAAAAATGCATACATTAAAATAATCTGTGTGTGATTCATTCCTTCTGTCTTTCATTTCAAAATAAAAGAAGAAAAAAATGATGATGACGGGAGTGGCTGCAGCTGTGGCAGGTGAAACAGATTTCCACTTAAAGTGGAAATGTGCTAAAAACATGGGAAAGTGATGAACAAGCTGAACACAGAAAATACAGAAAATATATAATTAAAAGAAAATTTTAAACAAGCATAAACAGCAAACCAGAAAACATTAGCACTGAAAATACTTTTATTAGCTGTTTGTTGCTATTTGAAATGGCAAACAACCATAACAGTCTGTGTAAACAGTTATGTAACTTAAGATTAATTGAAGTATAAAATGTTTAAAATGGGACTGCAAGAATCTTAATATGTTTTTAATTATTTGAGTTGATGTAAGCAGCAGTCTCCTTTGGTCTCAGCTCTGTCTGCTAGCCTTTAGCTCGTCAGTCAGACAGACTGGGGTTGTTCAAAGAGTTATCTGTAGCAGATAAGATATTGTTAATAATCTTATCACACAACCCCACTTCAAACGATCAGAACTATCCTTTTATGAGCATTTTAATTAAAATATATATTTACGTTTTTCTTTTTTGGATCATAACGATGACTCATCTGGGCCTGCACAGCTCCATCCACCCACTCATCCCCAATGAGACGAGTGCAGGAAGTCACTGAAAAGTCTGACTTTAGCTTCCGGAAACAGTTTCTGCTTAGTCTTCAGAGTAACTCACCAACTTTCTTTCTTTTTTTTCTTTTAATCAGACATTTTATCTCACTAACAAGTCTGACATAAATTGACATCTATGTCTTAACGGCGTCTGCATACATTAAGAATGTCTGGAAATGATGCAGATTTTTTTGTTGTTGTTATTTCAGAGACAGCATGTCAGATAAATAAAAGATTAAATGCAATTAAGATCGGTGAGAGACAGCTGCAGTCCTTGATGTCTCGGAGCCAAATACCTCTGACAGAGAGGCGGAGTCTCTGTTGATTTATTGGATTTAAAAATAGATTGGAATCCTTGGCACAGAGTGCTGTTGTCACATGGCATTAAAATCCTACTCTTCAAAACAGAATTAAAAGTATTTTTCCTACGTTGGCATTAAAAAAGAGATTATCTAAAAAAATATGTAATCACAGAGGAACTGTGGAGAGTACAGACTAAAGGAGAGCGTACTTTGTCCAAAATATGTTTTGTTTCTTTTACACCTAAAATCCCATCCGACCAGCCTTTTTTTTAAAGGGATCCCCAATTAGTTGTAACATTAGACTTTATTAAATAAACATATATTTTAAATGTAGGATAAAAACTGTAAAAAATACTGTAAGATGTTTAGTTTTTATCATTTTTAAACTGAAAGTTTAAAAATATATTACACAGACGGGGCCATTTTATTTACACGCAAAGCATTCTGGGTAAATGATGACGTGGATAGGTCCTCGGTGCGAGGC